TGAAGAATTCTGCCTCATCTTGCACACACGGACACAGTACAACACACAAAGATTCTTAGAAGGGGCACTGGTTTTGTGTTGGGTTGTTAAATGAAAATACTTTCTCATTGCTTCCTGCCTAGCCTGTGGCCTTCTGCACTGGGTTTCAGCTGTTGAAGTGAGGAGAAAGGCTTGCTTTCCTGGTGTTTTTAAGATCAGTATGTTTTATTACCGTCAGTAAAATTTTGACCTGATTTTGGCCTATTGGGGTGCGTGCATGAGTGTGTGTGTATGTAACTAAATTATAAGCAAAGAACTTTATCAAGCCCCACCAGTCTGGGGTCAGAGTGACCTTGTACGCCCCTGGGCGTCAGGCCCCTGTCCCCATCTTGCCTCTGTCTTATCTAACTTGGCTTGACCCAGGCTTCCTAGTCGAGAGCCCAAGGCAGAATCAAGCTGGTCTCCTGCCAGGACTGGTGGGATTGTCCACCTGATAGCACACACCTCCCATCTCCCTTCTGGTAAAGCCGTCTGGGGTGTCCACTCTGGGCCATGGCCATGCTGCCCCAGTGCCTTGGATACAGAAAGTGCTTTCTGCTTTGGTTTTGGAGCTTCAGGCCGCCTTGCCTTGGCCCTGTTGGCTCGTCCATCACTTCCCACTCCCCTGAGGGCTTCATGGCTCCAGCCCCAACACCCTGCTCTCTTTTCTGTTGGGCTGTCCTAACAGCTAGGCCAATGGAAGCTTCTGGAAGTGGGAGCTGGGTTGTCTGATATGTTAACCAACTGGCTGTTGAAGCTCAGGCTCTCCTCATGGTTCTAAGCTGGTTTCTAAGCCAGAGATCCCTGACGGCTGTGGCCTCAGTAGCAGACAACGTGGACCCCATGGGCGTTCTGCCACCATCAGCAGAGGTTCGGTCCTGAGCCTCTGTTGGCTCAGCTCCTGGGCCCTGTCAGGGACACCCTCTACCTCTAACCTCATGTCACTGGTGACTTTTACCAATTCTCTGGAAAAGCAGCTTTTTTCTTTGCTACTTCAGGTTTATATTAAAATTTTATACATACCCTCAGAAGCACAGAAGAGAGAAATGGACCATTTTCTTAGTGTCACTTGGTCACGGTGATTAGAAATGGTCCTCCTGGGGCCGGCCCCGTGGCCAAGTGGTTAGGTTTGCGCACTCCACTTTGGCGGCCCAGGGTTTCACTGGTTCAGATCCTGGGTGTGGACATGGCACCGCTCATCAGGCCACGCTGAGGTGGTGTCCCACATAGCACAACCAGAGGCACTCACAACTACAATATACAACTATGTACTGGGGGGCTTTGGGGAGAAGAAGAAGGAAAAAAAGAAGATTGTCAACAGATGTTAGCTCAGGTGCCAATCTTAAAAAAAAAGAGAGAAATGGTCCTTCTAAAGGAGTTAAAGAGTTAAGTGAAGAAGTGTTTATGCTGCTCTGAATTGTAATCCATTCCAAGGCAGAGGCCATCTTCTCACAGGTTTACCCCACGTCTGCACCCACAGTCCCGGCTGTCCCCGCCCACTGCCACCTGTAGTAAGAACCCCAGACCTTCTGTGAGGTGTAGAGCAGGACCGCAGAGAGCAGTGGCCCAGGAGTCCGAGGACCAGTGGCCCGGGGCTAGTCATTGCCCACCCGGGCTCAGGGCCCTCTGTGCAGGCTGCAGGGTTGGGCCATCCAGCCCAAAGCCCTCAGTAACTCCACGATCATTGGGCGGCCAATGGTGCTGATGTGTCCTGGTTGCTCCTCCCTCAAAGGATGCAGGCAGGAGGGCCCTCCCCAGGGGAGCAGCAGGCCTGGCTCACAGGTGTAGGTTGTGCTGCCCCAGTGAGTCCCTTGAGGACACAACAGTGACCTGACTGTCTCCCTCATCCACCCGCCCCTCCCACTCAGCCTGGGAATTACCCCAAACCCAGCCACTAGGTGCTTCCCCACCTGCCCCTGGAGAGCCTTGTGGCTCAGCCAAGGGAGAACCACAGGACGTGACAAGGTGGGGTCCTCCTTGGCCAGCTGACCCCCACTCAGACTGATAATCTACCACCCAGTCTTGCCGTGGGGTCCCATCCAACCATCGGAAGAAGAAAAGCTTACCGCTAGCTAGTATTATGGTGTTGCTTTGAGATCCTTGCATGACACGGTCAGTAGAAATAGTAAGTATAGTCAACCCTTTATTATCCGAGGGCCTCTCCGCCACGCAGGTGCAGCCAGGCCCGGGAGTCCCAGACCAGCCCGGAGAGCAATTCTCCATCTGCACGGCAGATGACGTCTGCCTTGTCTGGCTTTTCAGTGACTCAGCACTTCTGCCCACCTCGGCTTGGATGAGCAAGGCCTGGGGGACTGCCGCCTAATGGACTCCCCAGCCTCAGCTGGGCTTCCTGTTTCTCCTGGCCAGCAGCCACAGAGAGGTCAGGACATAAGTTGAAAGGCCACCTTTGCCCTTAAGCCCCTAGACACCCACTGACACTCCTCACTGGAGATGTCCCCGGGGCCGTGTCCCCAGGGCCACTCAGTGCTTCCATAGAAGGGGAGCCATACACTGCAGTGCCCATTGTGCCACAGAAGTCATAGAAGGCACTTATTCATGAGGCAGGGGACGAGCCCTGACGGGGGCTCGCGAGGCCCGGAACAGTCTAGGTCTGCCACCATCACTGTGTAATTTTTAGGGAAAATCACATCCTCCTTCTGGGTCTCAGTCCCCTCATCTGTCGAGTGGGAGGTTTGGACTAGACAATCAGTCTCTATGAATCCATTAGAGCCCGTGGTGTAATTTCAGTCCTCGTAGCAAAGATCACAAGTTTCTGCCAGACACCCAGACGCAGCGCTTGTGCCTGGTTTGGGTCACAAGATAAATATTGATTGTAAGGGCAACCATTTGTCCCAGTTTGCCTGGGACAGCCCTAGTTTCTTCCTGTTGCTTCTCCGTAATTATCAGTAGTGCCTCTTTCATTCTCAAAAGTGCCCCAATTTGGATGATATCTTACCTGGCCCCCCTATTGAGGGTAGTTTGATGAAATGAGAGTGCCCTGCCTTGTCCACATTCACCCTGCTTTGGGAGGATGCCTTCTCTGCCTCCTCAAAGGAGGCCTTTGACTGCTCAGAGAATAGCCTTTTCTGAGCTGCAGCCTTCCATTGACAAAAATCCATCACTCCGTCTGCTGAAGGGGTGTCATTTGGAGACACAGGTGAACTCATGTATCATTCACTGCCCCTGTCTGAAGTACCACATGAAAAAGTTCTTTTCAGAAAGCAACTCTTTGCTTCTTGTAAGGAACTTAGATAATCCTTCCTCTCTGGCTATAAGGACTCTGTAATGGACCATATCTCCCTTTTCTCCCTGGCTGCCAGGAAGCTCAGATATAAGTGTATAGCTGAACTAGAGAAACAATATAAGCCCTTATGATTGGTATACCAGTGTTCTTTCCATCCCACCAATCCTGACTTCCTGCCTTATTTGCATTTTCCTTTGTTCTGATTTGTTATTCTTATTTAGTTTTCTTATATTGTAGTTTGTCATTTTTTTACAAATACGTATAAAATTTTGTTATGGTTACCTTGAATTCTTTGTAGAACCAAAATGGAAAGGAAATACAAAAGGAGTAGACTTATAGGATGTGATTTTTAGTCCCCTCCACGGCATGCCACTCTGTCCAAAGTCTTGCCATTTGAGAGACAGCTACAAGTCTTTCAGACTCGCCAGCTTCCTGAGCACCTTGTGAATGTGGAAAGAACGAACTCCTTGAGTCTGCATCAGCAAACAGCTGGGGAACGGCAGAGCGAGAGCGAGGGCATGAAGGGAGCCTGGGGTCAGGATGCCGGGGGCAGGGCATGCTTCAAGGAGAGGGAGGAAGGCCGTGGAGACGTGAGTCCCTCACCCAGGGGATGGACACCTGCAAGGTGGTGGAGAATGAACTCTGGCCACAGGGAGCTGGGTTCAGGTGCTGGCCCTGCCTCTCAGGAACATGGGACCTTTGCAGGCCACCTTCCCTCTGTGGTCCTGTGTCCTGTGCTGGAAAGTAGGGTGGCTGGGTGAGATGAAGTCCACAGTGACTTCCGACTTTGAAATTCTGACCGTGCTCCTGGGGAGAAGGGCCCTGGGAGGCTCTCGGAGCTCAGAAAGCCTAGCCTGCCCGACCTTCAGCTGGCCCTTAGAGGACGCGCACACTGAGGGCTCCACCCGGACCAACTGTGCCCCTGAGCTTGGCAAGAACCCCATTCTGAGCCACTTCCGGGGTATCCCTGGGGCACTGAGTAGACAAGGAAAGGCTACCAAGCTGGAGAAGCCTGCCCAAATGGTCCTCCCAGCTCCTACTTGGCAGCTGAGGTGCTCACAGCGGCAGTAGCCTGTGAGCTTTCATAGGCTGGGGCAGTGGCTTTGGCTTCACCATGAAACATGGGCTTGGAGGGGAGTTAGCAGTGGACTAAAAGCCGTGAATGATGCCCCTCATGGACATTCAGAAGCCAGGGCCAGAGAAAGTGATACCAACCTCGTCATAATCCACCCCTTGGAAAGCACATCCCCGAAGAACCCCCGGCCCTTCCTCCCGCACCAGCCGCAGCACGGGCCGCTCTCCATCCTGCGGCATCTGCATCGTTATCACAGTGGACCCGAGTGCAGCTGAGGCAGGAATTGCTGTTATCTCATTGTATAGATTAGGCCGCTGAGGCTAGGGAGCTGAAATCCGCTCAGAGTCCCTCTCACGGCAGAGACTGGCGCATGGGCCTCCTCTCCCGAACTGGCCTGCCGTCTGTTCCTGACTGCCCCCCACAGCCACAGTCCTCAGAACCGACAGTGGGCATCGAATCACCGACCCCACTGTGAACGTGAGGGAGGGAGGTGTGGGCAGCGCTCAGGGGCAGGGAGCCGGGGGTCCATGGGTTCTTGTTGGGTCTCTGTGGTGAACCTTTTCGAGATCTCACGGAGCCGCTCAGGCTGTGGACGAGTCACAGTAACTCACTCTCTCTTCTCTTTTGTGTGTGTATTTCTGTGTGTGCGCTTTCGTCAAGTAGAAGAGCGTGAATTCCCCTCTGCGGCCATCTGTCTCCGACACGGGAGCAAAGGAAAGAAGAGGCCGGACGGAGCCGCCCGCGGCGTCCAGCGTGGCTCCTCTCGTGCGGGGACCAGGGATGACTGGGCTGTGCACCCAGACGTCTCCAGCCTTCAGCGGTTTGCGTAGCACACAGGGGACTCGTAGGGGGCCGCTTGCCACTGCCAACTGAAACAATACGATGGCAACATTGACATCCTTCGTGACGTTCCCACGACAGACATTCAGGCAGAAAGTGCTGGCGCGTTTTCTGTCTGCCAAGTAGCGGGCCATGCCTCAACCACGTGAGTGGTTTGGGCCCTGATGACCTGCTCTGAGTCCACTCGCAGCCAGTGACACTTGCAAAAAATCCCCAAAGCCGTCTTGGGTTCGGCTTCCTCAGCTCTTGACCAATGTGGCCGAAAGCAGACGCCTCCTTGGGACGCTTGGATTATTCATAGATGCAGCCTGCCCCGAACCTCCCTGAGTAGCATCTCGAGTCTCCGTGGAGGTCATGGATCCTGAACAAAGTGTCAAGGGCACCAGGAAGGCTGAGGGAAGTCCCCGGAAGCGGCTGACCAAGGGAGAGGCCGTCCAGACCAGTGTTTCGTCCAGCGCTCCGCACCCAGGTGGCAGCACAGCCGCCACCCAGGAGGCCCCGCTCCAAGACCTCCTAGCCCCGCAGCCCTTCCCGGGCCCTTCGCCAGTTCTTAGGGAAGGCTCTCAGGAGAAAATGGGCCAGCAGCAGAAGCCCCCCAAGAGGTCGTCCATCGAAGCCTCTGTCCACATCTCGCAGCTTCCGCAGCACCCTCTGACACCAGCATTCATGTCGCCCGGCAAGCCCGAGCATCTCCTGGAGGGCTCCACGTGGCAGCTGGTCGACCCCATGAGACCCGGACCCTCTGGCTCCTTCGTGACCCCTGGGCTCCATCCTCAGAGCCAGCTCCTCCCTCCCCATGCTTCCATCATCCCCCCGGAGGACCTGCCTGGCATCCCCAAAGTCTACGTGCCCCATCCCTCCCAGGTCTCCTTGAAGCCTGCAGAAGAGGCACACAAGAAGGAGAGGAAGCCACAGAAGCCGGGCAAATACATCTGCCAGTACTGCAGCCGGCCCTGCGCCAAGCCCAGCGTGCTCCAGAAACACATCCGCTCGCACACGGGCGAGAGGCCTTACCCCTGCGGCCCCTGCGGCTTCTCCTTCAAGACCAAGAGTAACCTCTACAAGCACAGGAAGTCCCATGCCCACCGCATCAAAGCCGGCCTGGCCTCCGGAATGGGCGGCGAGATGTATGCCCCGGGGCTGGAGATGGAGAGGATCCCAGGGGAAGAGTTTGAGGAGCCCACCGAGGGAGAGAGCACAGATTCAGAAGAGGAAACGGGCTCCACGTCCGCGCACCCCGCGGAGCTCTCCCCGAGACCTAAGCAGCCCCTCCTGTCCAGCGGTTTGTACAGCTCCGGCAGCCAGGGTTCCAGCCACGAACGCTGTTCCTTGTCCCAGTCCAGCTCCGCCCAGTCGCTCGAGGACCCCAGTCCATTTGCAGAACCCTCATCCGAACACCCCCTGAGCCATAAACCCGAAGACACGCACACGATAAAGCAGAAGCTGGCCCTTCGCTTAAGTGAGAGGAAAAAGGTCATCGACGAGCAGGCGTTCCTGAGCCCGGGCAGCAAGGGGAGCACGGAGTCTGGGTATTTCTCACGCTCCGAGAGTGCCGAGCAGCAGGCCAGTCCCCCCAACACCAACGCCAGGTCCTACGCCGAGATCATCTTCGGCAAGTGCGGGCGCATGGGGCAGCGGACCACCATGCTGACGGCCACCTCCACCCAGCCCCTCCTGCCCCTGTCCACGGAAGACAAGCCCAGCCTGGTGCCTTTGTCTGTGCCCCGGACACAGGTGATCGAGCACATCACCAAGCTCATCACCATCAACGAGGCCGTGGTGGACACCAGCGAGATAGACAGCGTGAAGCCGAGGAGGAGCTCGCTGTCCCGGCGCAGCAGCATGGAGTCCCCCAAATCCAGCCTCTACCGGGAGCCCCTGTCGTCCCACGGCGAGAAGACGAAGCCCGAACAATCACTGCTGAGCCTGCAGCACCCGCCCGGCGCCGCCCCCCCTGTGCCTCTGCTGAGAAGCCGCTCCATGCCTTCGGCCGCCTGCACCCTCGGTACCCCCCACCACCCCTTCCGAGGTAGCTACTCCTTCGACGACCACGTCGCCGACCCCGAAGCCCTGAGCCGCAGCAGTCAAGTGTTTACTTCCCACCCCCGGATGCTCAAGCGCCAGCCAGCCATCGAACTTCCTCTGGGAGGGGAGTACAGCTCTGAGGAGCCCGGGCCAAGTAGCAAAGACACGGCCGCCAGACCCGCAGACGAACCGGAACCCAAGGAAAGCGAACTCACCAAAAAGACCAAGAAGGGTTTGAAAACGAAAGGGGTGATCTATGAATGTAACATATGTGGTGCTCGGTACAAGAAAAAGGACAACTACGAAGCCCATAAAAAGTACTACTGCTCAGAGCTTCAGATCGCAAAGCCCCTCTCGGCGGGCGCCCACGCTTCTCTGGAAGCCGAGAAGAGTCAGGCTGAGCAGGAACCCTGGTCCCAGATGATGCATTACAAACTGGGGACCACCTTGGAGCTCACTCCACTGAGGAAAAGGAGGAAAGAGAAGAGCCTTGGGGACGAGGAAGAGCCGCCTGCCTTTGAGTCGACAAAAAGTCAGTTTGGCAGCCCCGGGCCATCCGATGCTCCTCGGAACCTTCCCCTGGAGTCCACCAAGTCACCAGCAGAACCAAGCAAGTCAGCGCCCTCCCTGGAGGGACCCACGGGCTTCCAGCCAAGGACTCCCAAGCTAGGGTCCAGTTCAGAATCAGGGAAGGAGCGGAGAACAACGTCCAAAGAAATTTCTGTCATCCAGCACACCAGCTCCTTTGAGAAGTCTGACTCTCTGGAGCAGCCCAGTGGCTTGGAGGGAGAAGACAAGTCTCCAGCCCCATTCTCGTCACCCCCACCCGCCCCGCACGGACGCTCCGCACACTCCCTGCAGCCCAAGCTCGTCCGCCAGCCCAACATTCAGGTCCCTGAGATCCTGGTGACCGAGGAGCCCGACCGGCTGGACACAGAGCCTGAGCCGCCCCCTAAGGAACCCGAGAAGACGGAGGAGTTCCAGTGGCCCCAGCGTAGCCAGACGCTCGCCCAGCTCCCTGCGGAGAAGCTGCCACCCAAGAAGAAGAGACTGCGCCTGGCAGAGATGGCCCAGTCGTCGGGGGAGTCCAGCTTCGAGTCCTCCCTTCCTCTGTCTCGCAGCCCAAGCCAGGAGAGCAGTGTCTCTCTGAGCGGGTCCAGCCGCTCCGCCTCCTTTGAGAGGGACGACCACGGAAAAGCCGAGGCCCCCGGGCCCTCATCCGACACACGCTCCAAACCCTTGGGCACCCACATGCTGACTGTCCCCAGCCACCACCCACATGCCCGAGAGATGCGGAGGTCAGCCTCAGAGCAGAGCCCTAACATTTCCCATTCTGCCCATATGACTGAGACACGCAGCAAATCCTTCGACTACGGCAGCTTGTCCTTGACAGGCCCTTCTGTGCCGGCCCCAGCGGCCCCAGCGGCCCCACCAGAGAGAAGAAAATGCTTTTTGGTGAGACAGGCTTCTCTGAGCAGGCCTCCAGAAACCGAGACAGAGGCCGCCCCCAAGGGAAGACAGGAGAGCGAGGACCCGAAGCCCTCATCCAGTAAACCTCCCACCAAAAGCTCATTGCCCCAGATTTCGTCAGCGGCCACCTCGCACAGCGGACACCCAGGAGGCAAGAGCCAGGTGCAGGACAGACCTCCACCGGGGTCCACTCCGCCCTATACGGAAGCACTGCAGGTGTTCCAGCATCCCACTGCCCAGCTCGCCCTGCATGAGAAACCGTACCTGCCGCCACCCGTCTCCCTTTTCTCCTTCCAGCACCTCTTGCAGCATGAGCCAGGACAGCCTTCAGAATTCTTCTCCACCCAGGCCATGTCCAGCCTCCTCTCCACGCCGTACTCCATGCCCCCGCTTCCTCCCTCCTTATTTCAAGCCCCGCCACTTCCTCTCCAACCTACTGTTTTGCACCCAGGCCAACTCCACCTCCCCCAGCTCATGCCTCACCCAGCCAACATCCCCTTCCGACAGCCCCCTTCGTTTCTCCCCATGCCATACCCTGCCTCCTCAGCACTCTCTTCTGGGTTTTTCCTGCCTCTGCAGTCTCAGTTTGCCCTTCAGCTCCCTGGCGACGTGGAAAGCCATCTGCCCCAGATCAAAACCAGCCTGGCCCCGCTAGCAACAGGAACCACTGGCCTCTCCCCCAGCACAGAGTACAGCAGTGACATCCAGCTTCCCCCTGTGGCTCCCCCAGCCAGCTCTTCAGCACCCACGGCAGCCCCTCTGCTGGCCCTGCCCGCCTGTCCGGACGCCATGGTGTCCCTGGTTGTGCCCGTCCGCATTCAGACTAACATGCCGTCCTATGGGAGCGCCATGTACACCACCCTCTCCCAGATCCTGGTCACCCAGCCCCAAGGCAGCTCAGCAACTGTCGCTCTTCCCAAGTTTGAGGAGCCCACGTGCAAAGGGGTGACCGTGTGTGGGGCAGATGTGTACGAAGTCGGGCCCAGCACAGCAGGGCTAAGTGAGGAGCAGAGCAGAGGTTTCCAGACTCCATACCTGAGAGTGCCTGTCACATTGCCTGAAAGAAAAGGCACTTCTCTGTCGTCAGAGAGTGTCTTGAGCCTGGAGGGGAGTTCATCAACAGTGGGCGGAAGCAAACGCGTCCTGTCCCCAGCTGGCAGCCTCGAGCTCACCATGGAAACCCAGCAGCAAAAAAGAGTGAAGGAGGAGGAGGGTTCCAAGGCAGATGAAACGCTAGAGCTGTTGAAGCCGTGCAGCGTGGTGCTCACCAGCGCCGAGGACGGCAAGAGGCCGGAGAAATCCCACTCGGGCAGTCAGGGCCAGGGCAGGAGGGAACTAGAAACACTGTCCAGCGTGTCCTCAGATCCAGCTGGCCCCAAGGAAGTCCCTGTGCGTCCTCACCCCTCCTTGCCCCGTGTGACGGCCCCAGGCTCAGAGGCTTTGAAGGAATATGCCCAGCCATCTGGTAAACCTCACCGCAGAGGGTTGCCCGCCCTGAGCATAAAGAAAGAAGATTCCAAGGAACAGCCTGACCTCCCTCCACTGGCACCTCCCGGCTTGCTGCCTCGGTCAGAAACGTCTCCCAGACCAGCCAAGTCGCAAGAAGGTACGGACTCAAAGAAGGTACTGCAGTTCCCCAGCCTCCACACGACCACTAATGTCAGTTGGTGCTATTTAAACTACATTAAGCCAAATCACATCCAGCATGCAGATAGGAGGTCCTCTGTTTACGCTGGTTGGTGCATAAGTTTGTACAACCCCAACCTTCCGGGGGTTTCCACTAAAGCTGCTTTGTCCCTCCTGAGGTCTAAGCAGAAGGTGAGCAAAGAGACATACACCATGGCCACAGCTCCGCATCCTGAGAAAGGAAGGCTTGTGCCATCCAGCTCTCGCAAGCCCCGCATGACAGAGGTGAGTTCAGCCCTGGTTTTCTTCTCCCCACTGATTGCAAGAGGCTCTGCTGAGCTTTTAAAGCCACTCTCTCCTAAGGTTGCATTTGCAAAACTAGGGCCAGAGGAGTGGCCAGATTTCCTGTCTGTCAGCTGTGGCTGGTCACCTTACCAGAGAACGTTTCTATTGGGTTTCTTTGTCAGTGTGTCCCTCACATCACTGGACTAGGTACATTTCAGTAAAGTGAACTTTGAAGAGATCCTTTTTCCCGTTAGCTTCTATTGTAAAATCAAAGACACAATCTCAGCCAGGAAAAAAAAAAAAAATTTCTGAAAGACCAACTTGGGAAACGTGGCTGATGGCAGTGCCTGCAGCAATTTTGGAACCTTATGCCACTCCATCATATGTTTCTCCCTCGTCCTGTTAGTCGTTTCCTGCCTTTATTATTCTCTACATCTGCTGTTTCTGTTCTCTGGTACCGCTTGAAATCTTCCCATTTCCAGAGATTCTAGAATTTAACACAAACAACTCCTGAAACATGCCTTCTTTCTTTTCGGTGAGGAGGGTAGCAAATAGAACTGGACTGCAGTATCCCCCTTTACCAGTCAGTGGCCGTGCCACTCACAGCTTGACCAGTCTGTGCTGTGCAGTAGCACCCGGCCTGACTAAGGGCTCATATTTACTCCTCCATTGCCTCTGACCTGAGGCTGCCTCAGGAGCCCTAAAATGATGCCTGCAAGTTCAGGAAGTTTAAAATTTGATGAGTCCAGGTTTGCTTCAGACAAATGACACCTCCATACCCTGACAAGGCCAGCCTAAGGGTTCAGGCCATGATGTGTTATGCCGACACGGCATTTGTGGAATAGCAGCTGCTCCTGTTGATTAAGCAGCCTCGCCATGCCAGGCGCTGTGCTGGGTCCTTGAATCCAGTCAGCACTCGTCTTCAGCTGTGAGGTAACAATACCATCTCCAGTGTACAGAAGAGGGAACTGAGGGTCAGAGGGTGAGACAGGTCAAGGTCACAGGGCAAATATTTGGCCAGCTGAGAATTTGAACCCAGACCTGTCTGACTCCAGAGAGTCTATTTTTCTTTTTTCAGTTATTTGAGGAAAGAAAACCGTAAAAGAGGATGGCAAATTTAAAGATATTCATTAGCGTGTCTTCAGGCCAGTTGCTTTGACCGAATCAAGCATAAATCCTCTCAACTAAATTCGTACTGTAGAAAAATGAACAAAATTGTGTTCTATAACTTCTCTTATATTCGTATCCTCCTCTTTTACCATTGGGTGTATTTTGTACATTGAATTTGTCCTCAGCTCAGCTGGATATCTTCACAGAACCATCTTCCAAATTTATTCTTTAAACGTCCTCATCAGTCTGCAGAGAGTCCTAAACAGGATTTCCACTTTGGCTCTGCAATGTCTCTTCCTGGCCACAGCTACTCCCACGATACTGTTGTCATTACATTCATACTTATAACTCCTTGTGCACCTACTATGTGCCAGGTACTATGCTAAGCTTTACTTTTATCCTCACAACCACTTTGAGAGTTAGGGCACTATGTCACCATTTTATGGATGAGGACACCAGAGCACAAAGAAGTTAGGTAACTTGCACAAGGCCGCACGGTAAATGGCAGAGCCTGGATTTAAAACTAGCTGTCACTCAGAGCCAGTTCAGATGATCTGGACTGCCTCCCTCTTTTAACAACTGGACACTAAAAGGTCGTTTAAGAAAAAGGAAGAGTTAATTTGGCTTAACTGGTTTGGCAATTCTTTGTGTAAAATGCTGCTTTCCTAAAAAGAGCTGAGACCTGCAAACTTTTTCTTGGAATGTTCCATTGGTTTCGCTGGCATGTTTTCTACCAAGTGCACCAATCTGGTGCATTAACGTAACTGCATGGTCCAGTGCTTGATGCCTTTCTATAGTTACGCCTCTCTCTGGGCTCTGTTTGCTTATCTCCAGTGATGGGGAGCTCACCACCTCTTGGTACAACCCAACCCATGTTTGGACAGTGCTTTTAGAAAGTTGTTTATTATGCTGAGCTGACTTTTGTCATCCCGTAGCTTCCATTCTCTTTAAAGCTCTTCCTAACCATCTTCCTGCAAGTCTAGGCCAACCTATCAGGTTTCAGTTTGGTCACAGATTTTTTTCCATGCATGAGCCCTGAGGAAACCCAACTTTATACAAGAATTCACTTTGCAGCCACGTTCTGTTCCCCAGGTTTCTCCTTCCTTTTTTCCTCCTGGGGGATCATTTTGACAACCACCTGCACAATTGCAAAGAGATTAAGAACAAGGATTCCAGTGCCAGGTGGTCCAGATTTGAATCCCAATACCTCACTTACTAGCTGTGTGACCTTGGGCCAGTTACTTAACCTCCTGTGCTTTTGTTTCCTCATTTGTAAAATAGAAATAATATTAACACTTAGCTCATAGGACTGTGGAGATGATTAAAAGAGTTAAAATATCAAAGTGTGTTTAGAACAGTGCTTGTCACATTGGCACTCAATAATTGTTTTCACCTATTGTTATTCATTTTATTATCATTAAAAGCCAAAGTGGGGGCTGTCCTGGTGGTGTAGTGATTAAGTTCCCATGCTCCACTTCAGTGGCCCAGGGTTCGCTGGTTTGGATCCCAGGCATGGACCTACACACTGCTTATCAAGCCATTCTGTGACAGCATCCCACATACAAAATAGAGGAAGATTAGCACAGACATTAGCTCAGGGCCAATCTTCCTCACCAAAAAACAAAAAGCCAAAGTGGATCCCTGGTCCTCCTGCTCAGTTCCAACAGTGTTTCCTGGTAGAGTGGCTCATTGCCACCAAAATCACCTTCCTCCAGCTTGGCCCAGACATCACAGCTGGTTGTGAGAGAGAAGTCATGCATCAGCCTGAGGGAGGCCCCTTAGGCACTCCATGGATGGCCCAGAAGGCAGGCCGAGATGGTAGTGAAAACAGCATGCTCTGGAAATCCACGGGTATTGCACAACATCAGCTGCTTCTGTGGACCGTTGCAAAGCAGCGGTCCATACCCTCACTTGGTTTTCACTCCCTGTCTCCAATTCTGAAGAGATCCCTTTGGGGGGGTCACTGAGTCATAGAAGTTGGCCCTGGAAGGAGTCTTCAAGATGGTCTAAATCCCCTCAGACTCTGAGGCCCAGAGAGGTGAAGTAATCCACCCAAGGGTGGCTCAGCACACAGTGGCCTACATGTTGCTAGAACTCAGTTTCCCTCATTCCCAACTGGGTACCTTTCTGCTCAGCCCCCACCTGTCCTTGTAGCGGGCAGGTGTGGTGGCCGGCACAGGGGACTGCGGTTCTCAGATTGTCCCAGCACCAGGAGATATGGTCGCTTCTCCCCCTGGCTGTAAACAGTACAGTTTCTCATGACCTTAGTGACACTGGCACAAAGTGGGAGGAGAATCTCCCTCCCAGTACTGCTGGCCCCAGCCCCCAGCCCAGCATCCCTGCTCCCTGCTCCAGGATGTGCACAGGCCCTGTTTTGGGTGCTGGCATGCCCGAGGAGACCAAGATGCGGACCTGTCCCCAGAAGCTCCTAGACTAGTGTAAAAGAAGGAGCAACACAGCTCTCGCGGGACGGCCTGGTCTTCCCGTGAGAAAGAGCTGGTCAGAGTCCCATGTTGACACCAACTGACCTCGTGGCCTTGAATAAGAGACTTCACCTGTCTGGGGATGAGTTTCCTTCTTTCTGTAAAGTGGGGCTCATAGCACCTCTTCACGGGGTACAGTGGAGATTAAGTGAGCCACAATTAAGTCTAAGTGTGCAGTGCCGTCGAAGGCGTCGTTCCATTATTTCTACTTAACCAGCCATGATTTTGTCGTTCCTGCGGCGGGCCAGGTTCACCTCCCTTCGCTGGTTTCCTCGGAAGCCCAGAAAGATATAGCTAGAGTGGAGAAGGAAGAGGAGAAGCGAGGGAAGCCGGAGGAGGACGCTCCTGCCTCGAAGCGAGGGGAGCCGGCGAGGATCAAAATCTTCGAAGGAGGGTAAGAATCACGTTTGGTTGGCAGTGTCTGCCTCTCGCGCCCCGCCGGTGGGCTGGGGATGCTGCCGGCTGTGTTCAGAGGCCCTGAGCGTCTCAGCCGGCAGGGCTGTGTTCACAGGCGCCCTGGGGTTCCAGCCGTGCCTTCCAGCAGACGCCACCTTTGTGTGACTCGCAGGCCACCTCTAAGAATGCTGGGCTCCTTGATGGTGGACGGGGGATGCTGGGTGTATTCTGAGGACTGGAGCCATCTAGGTCTTTGTCTGGCCCATCTTTCCTCAGATGCTGGCCAGGTTTCTACTCCTTGCATTGGGTTGACAGTAAGTCTCCCAGGTCTTTTCTGGCCTGCCACTTACCTTGGTGTATGTTCCCGAAAAGTCACCTGTGTCCTGCCTAAGCAGCCACCTTGGCATGCCTGGTGTCCTACGGGGGACCCGGGCTCTGCCGACTAGGCTGTTAGCAGGGCTGATGGCACACTGCACAGACCAGCTGTTTACACTGGTCTCCATGCTGACTAGCCGGGGTCCAGGACTCATTGGTTGGTAAATATTTAGAGCATCACCCCTGGTGTTTCACCTTTGGTGCTTGTCTTTGGAAACCTAAGGATCTAAGCGTCTCGGAACTCACAACTGCGGGGCCCTGGGCTCCAGAAGGGCCCTTGTTTCAGACTTGCTCTGTGGAAGTTTCGTGCAAGCTGTGTTCTATGTGACCACGTGTTTGCTCCCTGGGCTGTGATGTCTGTAAGCAGGTCGCGTGGTGTCTGTCTCAGGGTCCTGTGTCTGTGTCCCCAGTTTGATCCATGCAGCCCTTGTCCTACCCTGTCCTGAGGGATGACAGCACGGAGGAAAACCTACCTCCCAAAGAGGACAATCCCCTTGAGCACCTGCCAACACGGGATGTCACGGGGGCCCGCGATTCTCCAGCACCTGCAGGTGCACCACTGCCAGGGTCAAAGTGGGAGGTGCTGGGTTCCTCTGTAAAGCTGGGAAGAGCAGAGACTACCAAGCTCCCGAAGGCCGCTAGTGGGTGGCACTGACCAGCAGGGGCTCTCAGGAGAGGGGGTATCTGGAAACAAAACATGGGGACTTGGGTTGTCACAGTGACAGGGAGGGACAGGGATGGTAAACATCCTGCAGTGGTGGGGACACCTTTCCCTAGGGGAGAAGCATTCTGCCCAGAGTTCCAGTAGTGGCTCCACTGAGAAACACATGCCAAAGGTTTTCAAAAACCTGACCCTCTTTGCTTTTAGAGGGTGGACCGCTTTCTTCTCCTGCTATTTGGTTAGAGCGCCCTCTTGTGTCTCTGTTCTCCTATCATTGGGTCCTTTCAAGGCCACATAAGACTTCCTCCAAGGATGGTGCATCTGTTCACAGCGACGTGCCTTCTTCCCTCTTGCTTCAAGGACTGTCTCTGGGGCCCCCCGGGGAGCTGCTGAGTGTCAGCTGGGGCATGAAGAGGTTTGCTTCGGATGCCCCGGAGGCATCGCCTCCAGACTGGAGTTCCGGTTCCCTGAGGGGGCTCCCCACTGCCCCCATTCCCCTGGGGAGCCTGAGCTCCGGAAGGGCAGCTGACAGGAGCCCGTCCCCATCCCGGTCAGTTCACGGCTCCAGCTGCCTGCTGGAGTCCCTGCCACGTGGTCTGCCCTAGCTGGAAGGGAAAGGTTACCCCTGAGTGCCCTTCTCGTCTTCCTGCAGCTTAGACATCAGTGCCCACTCCTGCCCCACTCCACCCTCCCCTCGCCCCGTCCCATCCAGACTGTCACTTAGTCCTACCTGAGCTCCCTCTCCTTCAAGGTCCGCCCCCCTGCCCCAGAGCAGCTCTCCCACTTGCCTCTGATCCACTCAGACAGTCCCCTCCCTGCTCCAGCCCTGCTTCCTCATCTGTAAAAGGGGACGGTGGCATAGTTTGTGGATTGTCGGAGGATCCTGCGTGACCCTGTTTGTAAAGGTCAAAGTTCCTGGTGCTGACCCGTGGGCATCGGAGCATTTTATCACTACTGTCTCCATCTCTTTTCTCTCGCCCCAGGATAACCTCACTCTGTTCTGTTGGCTGTGAAAAATACTATCCTCACTCTCTCAACTTGTCACATCCAATTGGAACACTCCGGGGGGTCGTGTAGTGTTGCTAGTTAGATCCTCTTCTCCCGCAGCCCAGCTGTCCCATCAGGGCATCTGCTATGCCTCCCGCCCCCACTTCTGGGGACCCCTCTACGTCATGGTTCTCTTGGGGCTGGTGTCACCCCTGGAGTGTTTGGAAATGTGGGGCTGAGAGTGTTTTGGTTGTCACATAATTGAGGACACCTCTGGCGTTTCATGGATGGGGCCAAGGATGTGACCATCCATATGACCACAGAACCATGAATCCCACCCAAAAAAGCCAATGGTGCCCCCCACCAGAAACACTGAATATATCCTTCAGGTACCCACCTGAGGTCACCAAGGCTTTGCTTGAGACTCATTTCTTCGTTTTGTTCTTTTTTTTTTAACACAGCAAGCATTTATATTCACTCCAGTACGTGTTTGATGAGCGTCTGCAATAGGGTTCTGTTCCTAGGAGACCCTGAGAGATCGAGGCCGACGGAGGCCAAGAGAGAAATAAGGGAAAATGGTGAATTGTGCTCTGGATCTTAAAGCTTCTGCTTCCATGTTATTAGCCAGAGCAAGCTGTGTGGCCTCACCTGCCTTCATGATAGTGGGGTAGTGCAGCCCTACTATGTGCTTGGGAGAACCAGCGATGTTTGGCGGACAGCACCGACTACTCCAGTGGGTCTAACATGCACCTGCCACTTGTTATTTTTCACTCAGCAATGTTTTTGCGTTGTGTCGATGTTGATCCGTGTAGATCTAATTCATAGCGATGAGTCAGTGAGCGAGACAGAGAGTGGATGCTGTCTGAGTCCAACCCTCATGCGTCTTTTCATCACTAGTCAAGCTGCTCTCCCCGTGTCCTACTCTTCTTCTTGACCTCCAGCCCAGCAGTCGATCAATTAATCGATCCATCAAGGAGGAGCTATGTTGTCAGTGCCTTATGGGTGCTCTGTACTAGAAGATACCATAAGCTGCGGGGTAAACCCTGGTCCTGCCCTCAGGGGCTGGGGGACTAGTTCAGCTGCCAGCACAAGGCCCGGGGCTGAGGTGTGGACTGCCAGTGTGGACGTGCTCACAGCAGGCAGGGACCCCTGGGGCTGGAGTAACCAGAAGGGCTTCCTGGAGGAGGTGAGGCTAGGCCTGGAAGCGTGAGTGAAACTGGGACAGGCAGAGAGGAAAGGTAGGTTGGTCAGCAGTCAGGGTGTTATGGCGACTCATGTACCAGGTCAGTCGGACTGATTTCTTCTGGCCTCGAATGTTCTCCCTTGTCGACGTTGTCCATCTCCTTGGCTTCAAACCTCGTCTCTGTGCCCATGACACTAAATCTGGGTCTCCAGCTGGGACCTCGCTCCTGAGATATGGACCCTTGTGTCTGATGCCTCCTGGGCACCTTAACCTGGGAGACCCTGGGCACCTCAAACTCAGCATGTGCCAACCAATCCCTCCAGTTGCCACCAACAGCATCTCCTTCCACATCCAGGTCTCAGATGATGCCCCTAGCCCATCACCCTCAAAACCTGAGTGTCGTCTTGGATGCCTTCTTCTCCCCTGATACTCCCCCTTCCAATTGGTCCCCAAATTGTGGTGTCCACACAGAGTGGTCTGTGACTGAGATGTGGCCTCAGTTCACCCACGTTGCCACAGCTCTGGTCTCCCTCTCTCCGGGCCCCCATGTTGGTGCCATTGAGTGTCCTTGATTGTGGTTCTGCCTGTGTCGCGCCTCTGTTCCAGAGCCTTCTGTGGCTGCCTTACCCATGGGATCCTGTTAAAATTCTGGATCTTCCCAGCCCCGCGGCCTGACCTGCCCCTGCTGCACTTCACCTTCTGTGCCTACTGGGCTCTTCCCATGGCCAAGTCCAGCCAGCCTTCAAAGGGCAGTGCGCAACCCTCTCCTCTAAGCAACCCCTCGGATCCCTCCAGACGCCCTCATTCTGCGTGTTGCTTCTGGAATAACGCTGGTGTTGAAATCCATTCCTGTTTCCCACCACGTCCGCTCCTGACTTGGGTCCTAGGGCCAGGCTTTGCACACGCGATGCATCGATTCCTGTGTGTGGCACTGATCTCCTGGCACGCAGCCCCCTCCCTGACGTCCCCATCACCTCCATCCTGAACAGAGCCTGCGTTTTCCCTGCGGCCTCCGGGAGTGCCCGTCAGTAATGCGTTGGCTCTCTCACCCAGCACCTGTGCATTTGCCGTGGTTGTTTTAGAAGCGCTCTTTTGTTCAAGAACGTTGCTTTCACAACTACAAGGTTCTGTTGTTCACTGAGGGTGATGCCTATATTGTCCTAATGCTAGTTCACTTGTTACAAGGAGAGCCGGGAGCTCAGCCCAAAGGGCTGATGTGGAAAAGGGAGAGACTGGAATTGATAGGAACTACTCGGATCCTGAAAGTGGCCCTCCACACCCAGCTGGGAAGGAGGGGTGTCACTGCTTGGGTCCGAAGGGGGTGATGAGCTCAGATGGTGCCACCCAGGGAGGCCAGGCCCAGCTGGCTGGGGGTTCTCAGAAAGGTGGCCATGGGCACAGGGCAAGGGGTGGGTTGAATTTAGGGGGCAGCCCAACCTCGACTTGTCTCTGGGATACAGGGCAGGGGAGCAGAAGCCCAGCTGCGTACTGGGCTGGTGAGGGTGGGGTCGGTGGACTCATGGGCATGGGGTTGCACGGGGCTGGCCCGTAGCCTGTCAGGCCTTGAGCAGAAGGAGTCCATGCCAGACCCTGCCAACTGGAGGACTTAGCTGCTGATCTGAGGGAAGACCATCTGTGCTCTGTCTGAGGGCATTGGATCCCCCCTCTTCCCACCTACCCCCAAACACCCCAATACATCACTCCAGCCGTTGCCTCACTCCTGGCCCGTTCAATTCAGCATATCCAGACTTCAAGGTTCCCACCTTAAAAACTCTCCTTTGACTGGAGGGCT